AAAAAGGGCAAAGACCATTTCTGAATAGACCTTTCTGAAAGGAAGACATACAAATGGCAAAAAAAAAAAAAAAAAAAAACATGAAAAAATATAAAACTCACCTGTAGAGGTAAATCCATAATTCTAATTCAGAAAACCCCAATGAGGTAATAATGGTGCTATGTAAATTCTTCAATCCTCTAGTATGAAGATTTAAATCAAAATAGTCAAAAAAACAATAGCCACAATTAGTAGCTAAGGAACATACAATAGATATAAACATAAATTGAGGCAACAAAAATACAATTTGGGACGGGTAAGAACAGAGTATTTTCATGAAACCAAAGTTAATTTGCTATTAGCTTAAAATTTTTTATTATAACTACAAGACTCTTTACATTAGCCCTAAGGTAATCACAAAAAAAGAAATTACAGCAGACACACAAATGAGAAAGAGAAAGAAAACAAAGCTTAGCACCACAGAAAACCACCAATCCACAGAGGTAAATAACAAGCAAAAAAGAAAGGAACTAAGGATATACAAAATCAAAAAATGGCAGGAACAAGTTCTCACATATCAGTAATAACCTTCAGTGTAAATGTATTAAACTCTCCAATTCAAAGATATAGAGTGGCTGAATAAATAAAGAAACAAGACTCAACATTCTGCTGCCTACAAGAGACTCACCTAACTATTACAGACAAACATAGACTAAAAGTGAAGGGCTGGAGAAAGTTATTCCATGCGAACAGAAACAAAAAATGAGCAGAGTAGCCATACTTATATCACATAAAATAGACTTTATACAAAAAACTATTAAAAAAAGACAAAGATGGTCATTATATAATGATAAAGGGATCAATTCAGCAGTAGGATATAGCAATTGTTAATAGACATGCACCCAACACCAAAACACCCATATATATAAAGCAAACATTATTAGACCTAGTGGGAGAGAGAGATTGCAATTCAATAATAGCAGGGGACTTTAACATCCCACTTTCAGAATAAATAGATCAGCTAGACAGAAAATAAAGAAACATCTGGCTTAAACTGCACCATAGGCCAAATTGACCTTACAGACATTTACAGAACATTCCATCCAGCAGCTGCAGAACACACATTCTTCCCAACTGCACATGGGACATTCTCCAGGATATGCCAGGCCACAAAATGACTCTACACAAATTTTAAAAAATAGAGAACATATCAATTATCTTTTCAGACCGCAATGGTATAAAATTAGAAATCAGCTGAAAGAAAAACTTTGGAAAAATACATGGAAATTAAACAATATGCTCCAAAACAACCGATGGATTAATGAAAAAATTTAAAGGGAAATTAAAAAATTCCTTGACACAACAAAAATGGAAACACAGCACACCAAAAACATATGGGATATGGCAAAAGCAATTCTAAGAGGAAAGTTTATAGCAATAAATGCTAATATCAGAAAAAAGAAAGATTTCTCATAAACAACCTAACAATGGACCTAAAGGAACTAGAAAAACAACAATAAACTAAACCCAAAATTGGCAGAAGGAAAGAAATTATAAAGCTCAGAGCAGAATAAATGAAATAGAAACTAAAACAAACAACAAAAAACAATTGAAAAGATTGGTGAAACAAAGAGTTGGTTTTTTGAAAAAAAAACCAAATTGACAAACCCTTAGCTAGACTAACCAAGGAAGAGAAAGAAAAGATTCACATAAATAAAATCAAACATGAAAAAGGAGACATTACAACTGATGACACAGACGTACAGAGGATCATAAGAGACTATTATGAACAACTATAGACCAACAAATTTGATAACACAGAAGAAGTAGATAAAATCCCAGACAAATATAATCTACCAAGTTTAAATTATAAAGAAATAGAAAATCTGAACAGACCAATAACAAGTGAGGACATTGAATCAGTAATACAGAGTCTTCCATTAAGGAAAAGCCCAGGGCCTGATGGCTTCACTGCTGAATTTTACCAAACATTTAATGAAGAACTAATACCATTTCTCTCCATATTATTTCAGAAAATTGAGATGGAGGGAATACTTCCCAATTCATTTTATGAGGCCAGCTTTCCTCTGATTCCAAAACCAGACAAAAACACAACAAAAAAGAAAATTACAGGCCAATATCCCTTATGAACATAAATACAAAAATTCTCAACAAGATACTAGCAAACAGAATCCAACAGCACATTAAAAAGGTCATTCACTATGATCAAGTGGGATTTATCCCAGGGATGCAGGGATGGTTTAACATACACAAATCAGTAAATGTATACACCACATTAACAGAAAGAAAGACAAAAACCATATCATCATTTCAATTGGTGCAGAAAAAGCATTTGACAAAATTCAACGTTCCTTCATGATAAAAACTGTTAACAAACCAGGTATTGAATGTCTGTACCTCAATTTGATAAAGGCTGTATATGAGAAATCCACAGGTAACATCATACTGAATGGGAAAAAGCTGAAAGGTTTCCTTCTTAGATCAAGAACAAGACAAGATGCCCACTTCCACCACTTCTATTCAACACAGTACTGGAAGTCCTAGCCAGAGCAATTAGACAAGAGAAGGAAATAGAATGCATCCAAATTGAAAAAAAGGAAGTCAAACGGTCCGTTTGCAGATGACATGATCTTATGTATAGAAAACTCTGAAGATTCCACCAAAAAACTGTTCGAGCTAGTAAACAAATTCAGTAAAGTTGCAGGATACAAAATAAACAAAAAAGTCAGTAGCATTTCTATATCTTAATAGTGAACTATCTGAAAAAGAAGTCAAGAAAACAATTCCTTTTACGATGACTACAAAAACATTAGATACCTAGGAATGAACTTAATCAAGGAGGTGAAAGACCTCTGCAATGAAAAGTATAAAACTTTGAAGAAAGAAATTGAAGAGGACATAAATGGAAAGATATCCCATGTTTATGGATTGGAAGAGTAAAAGTGACCTACAGATTTAATGCAATCCCTATCAAAATACCAATGACATTCTTCACTGAAATAGAAAAAAAACAATCCTAAAATTCATAGAAAACCAAAAAGACCCTGAATAGCCAAAGCAATCCTGAAAATAACAAACAAAGCTGGAGGCATCACACTACCTGACTTCAAATTATAATACAAAGCTATAACCCAAACTGCATGGTATGGCAATCCTAAAATTCATAGAAAACCAAAAAGACCCTGAATAGCCAAAGCAATCCTGAAAATAACAAACAAAGCTGGGGGCATCACACTACCTGACTTCAAATTATAATACAAAGCTATAACCCAAACTGCATGGTATGGCAGAAAAACAGACACATAGACCAATGGAATGGAATAGAGAGCTCAGGAATAAATTCGTGCACTTTCAGCTAATGATCTTTGACAAAGGTGCCACAAATACATATTGGGGAAAAGACAGTCTCTTTCAGTAAACAATGCTGGGAAAACTGGATATCCACATGCAGAAGAATGAGACTAGGCCCCTACCTCTCACCATATACAAAAATCAAGTCAAATGGATTAAATATTTAAATGTAAAAACACCAACTATGAAACTACTAGGAGAAAACATAGGGAAAATGATCCACAATATGGGGCTGGGAAAGGATTTTTAAGTAAGACTTCAAAAGCACAAGTAGTAAAAGCAAAAATAGGCAAGTGGGATTGCATCAAACTAAAAAGCTTTTTGTGTATCAAAGGAAACTGTTAACAGAGTAGTGACAACCTACAGAATGGTAGAAAATATTTGCAGACTATACATCTGACAAGGGGTTAATATCAAGAATATATAAGGAATTTAACAGCAAAAAAAAAAAAAAACCCAATTGAGAAATGGGCAAAGGATCATAACAGACACTTCTGAAAAGAAGACATGCAAATAGCCAACAGGCATGTGAAAAAATGCTCAACATCACTAAACATTAGGGAAATGCGAATCAATACAACAATGAAATACCACTTCACTCCTGTTAGAATGACTATTATCAAAATGACGAAAGCAAGTGTTGGCAAGGATGTGGAGAAAAGGGAACACTTGTACTCTCTTGGTGGGAGTGTAAACTAGCACAGCCATTATGGAAAGCAATATGGAGGCTCCTAGAAACGTTAAAAATAGAACTATCATATGATCCAGTAATCCCACTACTGGGTGTATGCCCAAAGGAAATGAAGTCAGCATGTCAAAGAGATATCTGCACTCCCATGTTTATTGTAGCACAATTTACAATAGCCAAGATACAGAATCAACCAAAGTGTCCAAAAATGAATGAATGGATACAAAAATGTGGTATATATACATGGAATACTATGTAGCCATAAAAAAGAATAAAATCCTGTCATTTGCAGCAACATGGATGGACTTGGAGGTCATTATGGTAAGTGAAATAAGCCAGGCTCAGAAAGATATATACCACATCATCTCATTCATATGTGGAATATTAAAAAAAAAATTATATTATAGAAACAGAAAGTAGAACAGTGGTTACCAGGGACTAGTGAGGAGAGGGGGGAAAGGAAAACAGGGAGAGGTTGGCCAACAGGTACAAAGTTACAATTAGATAGGAGGAATAAGTTCTGATGTTCTGTTGCACAGTAGCGTAACTGTGGTTAACAGTTAAGTTTTGTATATTACATAGGAGAGCTAGAAGAGAGGCTTTTGAATGTTTTCACCGTAAAGAAATGATAAATGCACTGAAGCGATGGCTACATGAACTACCCTGACCCAATCATCATACAACATAGGTAAGTATCAAAACATCAGATTTTTGCCCATAAGCATGTATAATACAACATGTCAATTAAAATATTTTTAAAAGGACCAATCTATCTTGGAAATAAAGAAACAAAAAGTCTGCAGAGCCTTCAGACTAAAGGATTGAATTACATATAAGGTCAGGAAAATAACATTAGCATCAGACTTCTCAAGAGCACCATACAGACAAGACAACAGAGAGGCACAACATTTTCAAAAACTCATGCTAAGGGTTTTGTATCTAGCCAAGGTTTCCTCCAAGTATCAGATTATGAAAAAACAGTTTTGAATTTGCAAGAAAGAACTCAGGGAATAATGTAAACACAGTCCTTCCCGAGCGTCTATTACAGTTAAGCTTCATCAGGCAAAAGACACAACTGGGGAAGCCAGCCAAAGGACTGATCGAAAACCTTAATATGTTTCATTAATAGCTGGGACTCAAATGGGGGTGGGGAAGAACACTATGTAAATGTTATATATTCTGACAAAATAGGGTGCTGCTAAAAACACCATGAGAAGAGAAAGAAGAAAAAAAGTGAAAAGTGGCACTTTAATATTGGATTGTTCAAACTGTCCCCAGTGATTCCTACATGATTGGGGTTGGGCTCTCCAAAAATTTATTTCCAGGTATTTTTTGCCCTCTCGATGCAAATCTTTAATCCCATGCATAGATCCAAAATAGCCTGTCACTGCTCACTCCTGGATGGAGCTCATGTGGCACCACGCCTTCCAGAGATCTCCCCTCAAGGCTTCTCTCACACTGATTAGAGAGCAGTGGAGCCTGTGGATTCTTGCAGAGATGAAAGGACAAATAGAAATGAGATGGAGGAGCAAAGAGGGAGATGCTTGAAGGAAAGTTGGAAATTAAAGTTTCTCCTGAGTAATTAAAGGAAAAATATCCCTGCAATAAATTGTTGCAACTATTTAATTAGCATATTATCAGGACGACAACTGTACCTATTATAGGCTGAGGGCAAAATATAGGATTTGGAAATGACCAAACCTTGTTTGATCTGTGCAAGGCCTCTTCAGCAGACTTTCGATCACAGGCACCAACATACCATGGCTTGCAGTGAAGGTCAGCTTCCTGTGAAATGGAGGGCACTATTATGCATGAGTTGGTCCTTAAATGACTCTGTAACTTCTGTGCATTAGAAACAAAAGCCCATCTTCCCTTACCAAGACAGGCCTAACTACATTGGGACCAATAATTTGAAAATAAGTTTATGCTTCCTTTGATCAACCACAAGGATTTATATTATTGACTTTTTTTCTTATTTGGCCTTAGCTGCTAAACATAGTACTTGAATCTAACTAAGTCCTGCTAGGTTCCCGAACCATTTATTTATTTCTCCTAAATAAGTTATAATCTCCCTTTCCATTAGGCTTTTATTGTTGTTCTTTGTGGAGTGTTTTGTAATTTCCAAATTGTTTTTATGAATGTTATTTTGTTTGACTTTTGCAAATAAAGGTACATGCCTTCCTTGAGGATACATTTCTATTTTACATTTTTACATATATTTTTACATAAGCTTAGAGACACTTGCACACAGAGTCTCTTTTCAAACTGTGCTGTCTTATGTTTTTTAATATCATAAACCTCCCAAGATCTATTCTGAGGAAATTACAGAGTTTAAGTAAAATATATGTAAGAGGAACAATGAAAACAACACATTTCCTTGGTAGTTTTGAAGAAACACTAATTGTTATTCAAGGAATCTGGAATGCAAATTGGAATAAACAGAGCAAGGTCTTAGTCAATGAAAAAAATTGGGCATACTATACCCATCAGTAAATGACAACCACAAACTGACTTAAAATACAGAGTCTATTTTCAGGCTTCCCTCCAAACTTTCTTCTCAGAAGACATGCCCTTTCCTGCAGTTTACTGGTAACAATTTAGTGACATCGAGAGTTCATTTCATACCTGTTCTGAAATAGTGGAATTAGATGAAAAGGTGGGTAATGGTCCATTCACAGTTGGGCTTCCCCCTTCTGGAAATCCTAAAAGGGATTTGAAAAGTCAATTAATCTTTACTATTTCCTGAACAGATACTATGCCTACACCCAACACTGTGCTAGGTACTACAGGGGACACACCCCCAAAAAATCCTTAAGGAAATGGTTTTCAAAGTGTGGTCCAAGGTCCGGGAATCCTCAAGATTCTTTCAGGGGTTTCAAGAGGACTTTTCTTTTCCAATAACTTACTTCTGTGAAGCCCAGTTTTCCTCGCATATTTTAACCAGAAAAAGATATTACAACAGATTAAATGTAGAAACAGATATGAGAGCCCAGCAGTCTGTGTTACTCCAGATATTAAAAAGATTTACGAAATGTAAAACAATGCCACTTTTCCCACTTAATTGTTTTTGTTTGGAAAATATAGTTATTTTTCATAAAAATGTTATTTATGTTAACATTTAATGAGTTTAGTATTATTTTTAAATAGGTTAACAAATGTTTTAAATGTTTCAGTTTAAATTCTTAATACACTAAATATAAATAGAAAGAAACATGTAAACCAAAGGTCTTTGGGTCTGCAGTGATTTTAAGAGTATTAGAGTGGTCCCAAGACCAAAATATTTGAGAATCATTGCCTTAAGGCATAAACACCCTCAAGGAGTTTACAGTCTAAATGTGGAGACACGTGGAAAAAAGAGAACACTTAAGGTTCATTCATTCTTTCATTCTTGTGTGCCTGAGATGGATCCAGGCATTGGGGATGAACAGCAGTCAACAGAACAGCAAAATATTCTGCCCTCCTGAAGCTTAAATTTTAATGGGCTGTGATAGGCAATAAAGACATAAGTAAATATATATGTAATATTAGAGAGTCATAAATGCTGTGGAGAAAAAGTGGGGAAGGAAGGTCTCAGTGAGGTGGCACTTGGGTAAGATCTGCAGGCGGAGAGGAAGGAGACATGTGGATAGCTCAGTGAAGAATGTTCCAAGTAGTGGGAACAGTGAATGCAAGGGCCTGGCATATTTGAGGAATAGCAAGGGGGCCATTGTGCCTGGACTACAGTGAGAAAAGGGGAGCAGAATAAGGGATGAAGTCAGACAGGAGGCAATGAGGGGACTAGATTTATGGGACCTGGTAGGCCGTTAACGTGACTTGAACTTGAACGAACATGATATGGGAAGCTTTTGGAGGATTTTGAACACAGGAGTAACATGATCTGCCTGTCTTTTAACAGGTTCACTCTGGCTGCTGGACTGGAAATAAAGGGGACAAGATCAGAGAGGAGAGGCCAGTTTGATGGTCTTGCAGGAGATGATGGTGGTGGGACAAATCACAGCAGTGGGAGAAGTGAGAGTGGTTTGATTTCAGATATATTTTTTGTTTTGTTTTGGTGGCTGGCTGGTACGGGGATCTGAACTCTTGACCTTAGTATTATCAGCACCACGCTCTAACCAAGTGAGCTAATTGGCCAGCCCCGATTCCAGATATAGTTAGAAGGAATAGCTGAAAGGTGTGTGAAGAAAGGAAGTGAGGAGTCAAGGGTGACTCGGAGGTGTTTGACCAGAGCAACCAAGGCAGGGGAGTCTGTAGGAGACACAGGTTTGGATGAACTAAGTGCTTCAGATAATAGTGCCCTGGGTTTTCAAGGAAGGCAGCCACTGATGCCACCGCAGAGGGCAGCAAGGGCTTGTCAGGCCCAGCAAAGATGGTCCTAAAGCAGCGGTGTATTGTAACAGGTGAGCATGGTACTCCCAGATGAGTGGCTGGTCAGGTTTTTCCAAGGCACACAACAGTACAGGGTGGTTGGTGGTAATCTGTAGTTTTGGTGGTAAGGGGAGTACCCATGGCTAACATGCTCCGAGCCATCAACATGTGCCAGGCCTGTTCAGTTCTCAACACATTAGCTCATTTAGTCCTCACAGCAACTCCTTGTGGGAGGAGCTATTATACCCCAGTTTACAGATGAGACCTTCCCAGCCTTCCCCACCTAAAGTACTGCCGTCACTGCCTCCATGGCTCTCTGCCACACACACCCCCCTCCAACCCTGTTTTATTTTCTTTTAGAGCACTTTAGCATTTACCGGATATGATATTTATCTCTGTGTTTATTTTTACTGTCTCCCCTAATAGAATACAAGTTTTGTGTGTTTTACTCATCCTTGTATCCCCTGTGCCTGGAATAGTGCCTTGCACGTGGCAGAGGGTCAATAACAATTAAAAGAATGACTTGGGTTGAAAAACAATAAAAGGTGTAATAAAGGTTTTTAAATAATGAAAAATGAATTTCTACAGCAAAGAAATTCATTTTCATTTTTATTTTGTGTTGTCAGAATTAAAAAAACTATTCAGTAAAAGTTTCACTAAAGATACATCAAAAATGTTATTAAAACCTAAAAAAGCAATTTATGTTAGTAAAAATGCACATACTTTTTTCACATATGACAATTATTCTGTTTATTTAAATGGATTTAACCTTGATTATTTTGGAATATGTTCCAAATTACCCATGTAAAGGAGAGTTTTTTCTTTTTTCTTTTTTTTTCCTCCCCTAAATTGAGTAGAAAGCAAATTAAGATTCGGGCAGTTATGTTCTGTGAGGCTGACTTAACTGATTCATATATTTTTAGGTTGACATTTTTCCTGGGGAAAATTATCCAGATATTTGCCATATCTTCTTTTCAGGGTATTTTTTGTAGATATATTTTGTGATCATTAAAATATATTTTATATTTAATTTAAATAGCTATCATTTATGGAGGATCTTCTATGTACCAAGCAGTATAACAGGTACTTCCCATATGTTGTTTTACTTAATGTTCTTGACCCCATTTTACAGATGAGGAAACAAGCAAGAGAGGATACTGAGATCGTGCAGCTGGAAGTGACAGTGTCGTCGTATCAGAATCTAGGTCTATCAGACACTAAGATCCAGGCTTAACCACTACTCTTCATGACTTCATTGTACTTACTTGGCAGAGGTACAGGTTTTTGATGGATTTGTCTGAAAGGAAGAATTTCAGATTAATTAAAGGACAAAGCACAATATGAATAAGTCTGACTTTTTGTTTACACTGAAGATGCTCTGAACAGGTGCATCACAGAGGAATCAATACGAATGGCCAATAAAACACATCTAAAGAAAGAAGAGGCACCAAAACCTTAAAGATAAGTAAGATTGTTCCCTTTAGTTTTGAAGAAGGAGATGCCTTGACTTTTTAAAGCGTTAAATCTTAGTTAAGTCCAATAATTAACCCAAAAGTAGGTCTCTGCAACTCTATGCTACTTGACATCTTTTTACATTTAATTGCAAAGCAATGAAATATTGAATTTTTACCAAATACTACAAGCCAGTATCACTGTGCAGTGTAACAATACATATGTTAATTCCTACAGCAATAAGTAGAAACTTATTTTGAAAGGAAAGGATTCTTACTTCTGGGCAGGAGGAAACACTGGTGACTGTACGGATTCTTGTCTGTGACTAGACCCTCGGTGGCGTTCAGCAGGTATAGGTTTTTCTGGATTAGGAAAATTCTCATATTAGGATAAGAATGGAATATCTGTCCTTACTCCAAAACCCAGCAACGTTAGCCAAGAAGAACCAGTTTTGGTCAGACATCTCCCCAGGAACATGGCATTTACCAGGAAGTCATCGGTTTGTGCAGTTGTCAGTCTGCTGATGTGATTATGTTATTAGACCAGGACTCCCAGTCAGCAGTGTTACAGGTACACCCCATCATCTCTACATTCATCCTCTGGCAATGTACATATGGACTGAATCCATGGGGCCTGGATTTTTAAGTGTGTGAGGCCAGATGGGAGCCACAAGATGAGCAAGGTTCAGCCACCCTCTGAACAATTCACCTCTACTTCCTATGAAGACTCCACACAGGTGTTACAATGCCCTGATGTGTCTCGATGAGTCATAAGACATGGTATAAGTAATTTCTTACTGATCAGGGTTTGTGAATGATCTATTCTTTATGAAAAATTATTTGGATCAAATTCAACATTATCCCCATGATAATGTTAATCTCGCATTTCACAGAAAATAAGCATAAACCTGAAATGTTTAGAAATTTATGTTGAAGCCCATCATGAATGAACTATACTGCTGAATCATTGATAAATGTGATGACAAATTTGGTCTGGGGTATGCCCATGGGTGAGTCTACTGCATAGAAGAAAGGTCGAGATCCTAAAAGGAATAAAAGTAGTAAGAACTCAAAGATTTAAATAAATGATAAGACAGACTTCAGGATTTTTTGTAGTTCCTTAACATTTGGAAGCCTTGAACCTCTAAAGATCATATTTCAAATTCGTGGCAAGTTACTTTGAGCTGCCACGTTAGATGTTTGGTTCATGACTTTGAACAAAAAAAACCCTGGTAATTTCAGGAGAAACAATGAACACAGTATGTCCCAACAGCCTGTGAGCTTTGACCACACCTGCTTTGCCTCTGCTTCGAGGCTTCCTTCCTAGGTGAGAAGAGGTCACTTTCTTGCTTTGGGTTGGATGGTCATTGTCTCTGCTCTTGACATGAGTATAAAAGAGGAGGCATGCCATGTTCCTGCACTGGGAGCCCTTTGAGGAGGAGGACACCTGAGCAGCAGGGGATATGCGATAAGCTTCTTCTCACCTGTTCTTTGGAAAGTCCTGAAGCCAGGGAGTTTGCACAGGGTTGTACTTACTTCCTACAGAGGCTCGGAGGCCCTGAGGTTACTATCCCTGTATGCTCCCTGCTCAGCAGGCATGAGAGACTGCAAGGAATGGAAGGACAGAAAGACAACAGCATTGGCAAAAAGACAGGAGAAAGCAAAATGGCAGTAAAGGAATAATGGCCTCAGAAATAGCCTGGGGGGAAAATGTGGGAATCAGGCTAGAAAACCTAATGGAGCAATTAAAGCAGAGGTGAGCTGTAATGCACACACAGCAAAGATCCATCATCCTTTGTCAGAAAAACCTGAATGCTTTATGTAGCTATGCCCCCCATTAACTCATGAAACGCTGAGAAGAATACTAAGTTTATAACACTGCCTACTTTCAAATGTGGAATTCGATGGGTGCAGGAACAGAGCTTTTATATATAATGTTTTAAGTGCTGATATTATGGATGATTCTTCTTTCTGATTTTTTTTTCCCCAGTGTTTTCCAAATACAAATTTTTTTTTCTAAATGGAAAAGTTCTGAATATATGTAAGGTTTTTAAGTTCTAATAAGATAAGAGAAGAAGAGTATTTGAAGATGTACTAAGACAGATGTTTGAACTTTGAAAACTTAGCCAAAGAATTTGTTCAAATAAACAAATTTAAAAAATTTTTAGGGCCGGCCCGGTGGCGCACTGCTGCAGTGCACCGCTTGGGAGCGCGGCGGCGCTCCCGCCGAGGGTTCGGATCCCACATACAGACCAGCCGCTCACTGGCTGAGCGAGGTGTGGGCGCAGCACCGAGGGTTGCGATCCCGTTGCCGGTCCCGGTCCGGTACGGGCGCGACACTGAGGGTTGCGATCCGTTGCCGGTCACAAAAAAAGACAAAAAGGAAAAAAAAATTTTTATTAACTTAAGAAAGCTATTAGTTCTAAGACATGTGAATGGCTCTAATTAGTCTTTAGATCTATGCAGAGCCATGGCACTATGTCTCAGCAAGTCACACCTGTCTACAAACAGGTAGACTTTTGGCATGTAGACTATAGCCTACTGCAAAGATCCTACCCAGTGAGCTCAGGTTCTGAGCTCACGTGGCTACCCACTCCTCATTGTAAAGTGAAAGACTATTTTGTTTAGAAAACTGAGTTTCATATTATAATTGCCTTATAAATAATGAAGGAAATTTAGAAACACATTTATATACAAATCCTTAATTAAAATAACTTTTAGAGGACATGTTCATCCTTCAGAATAATAGATTTACCTTCACAAACACTTGATGCATTCTGTTGAGAGGCAACTGGAGTCTGTATAAAAAAAAAAAGGCAAGGATATTCAATAGAGCAAAATGTGGAAATAAAAGTCAAAGTAATATTATTAAAACAAATATTTTGGGAGAACTTTTCTTTGAAACTTAGCTACTCTTTCAAATACAACAATAATTAAAACACACAGACCCCAGCCCAACCTTTGCATCAAGTAACAACTGATTGGAAGTGTCTCATGGAAGGAGCTGTGTCATCTTGGTATGGGGACCTCCCTGCTCCATCAACAGGGTTGATGGATACTTTGACCCCCCAGCAGCTGTAGGGCACTAGTGTTTGTGCAGTGGGCATTCAGCATCTGGCTTTGGTCTCATGGCTCCACCTTCTGTGTGTTTGCTAAGTGATTGTATATGTCAGACTCCAGAATAGGTACCAGGTCCAGGTGGGTTTCCTCGCACGGTGGGGTGTCCTGGCCAGAATCTGAGTTTGGTCAGGCCTACAAGAATGTATGCCTGATGGGCCGGCCCGGTGGCGCACTGGATAGTGCGCCGCTTGGGAAGTGCGGCGGCGCTCCCGCCCGAGGGTTCGGATCCCACATACAGACCGGTTCCCGCTCACTGGCTGAGCGAGGCGCGGGAGCAACACCAAGGGAAGCGATCCCGTTGCCGGTCCCCTGTCTGGTACGGGGGCACCAC